TAGGCTCTTTCCCACTTCTACTCATTATTGTGACCTTTTGATGGAGCCCTAATTTCAACCTTCAGGTCCATCCCTTCTGCATGCAGGTTGTAAACATCCCCTAACTCCTTTAAATGAAGGGATTTTAAATGGATCGATCCTTTGATTCTAACTGGCTTTTCCTCTGAGTGATGGCACAACAATCTCTGTTTAGTAGAATCAGATGTGGAGCTTGAAGGAGCCTTAAAGGTCACTCAGGCCAATCTCCTCATTTTTCAGATGATGAACTGGGACCTAGAGAGTTCAATTATTTTGCTCAATGTCACATAGGTAATGAGCAATTTGTGCAAAAAAGAAAGTTAAAGTTTTCCTTAATCAATCAATAAACATTTATAAAGCATCTGCTACGTACCAGGCACTATGCTAACCACTGGGCACACAAAAAGAGGCAAAATACAGTTCCTGCCCTCAGGGAGTTTACAGTCTAATGGGGGAGAAGACAATATGCCAACAAATAAATACAAAGCCAACTCTATCCAGGATAAATAGGAAATAAATAACAGAGGGAAGGCACTAGAGTTAAGAGGGATTAGGAAAAGTTTCCTGTAATGTTTCATACTCCCCCATTCCCAGAACCAATAGCTGAACTTCCAGCATGGTTCAGAGAAGAGAATGCTGGTCAAAGAACCAGAGCATCAATCTCAGCTCTGTTATCAACTAGCTGTGTGACCTTTAGTGAATTGCTCAACTTCTCTGGGCCTCAGGTACCTTTAAAATGAGGGGGTTGGATAAGCTCTAAGTGTTTTCCAGCTGTAGATCTATGATCTTATGAAGTGACAGTTTCTGACAGTAAGGATGCTGGGTAAAGTTTTAGCTAGGTATTTCTCACTTTTTAGGATAGAGCAGCAGACTTTATTAATGCTACTGTGATGACCAGGAGGCTATAGCCCTGAACCATCATTGTAGTGGCACCTTTGACAAATTCATCCTCCGTCCCAGTTTCTTTTCTTTACAAAATGAAGGCAGTACCTGTTTCCCACCTACCTAGAGTAGATGAGGTCTGTGCCACGCTCTTTGAGGCCCTCCGAGAGAGGCGTTCCATAAATGGGGTGAATTGTTGTTTTTATTACTGCTTAATGCCTTATAATGCCTTGGTACTCAGTATTATGAAGCCTTGATCCTCATCCCCACTGTGCTGAAATTGGTCCTCTTGAAAACCATCACCTACTGCTCATTTCTTTCTGAGCTCCATGGGATTGTGAAAGGTTATTGAACTGTGAAAGTAAGGAAGTTGGAGGCTGAAAAGCTAGCCCTTTTAGTCCATTTTCTGCTTTCTGTGCTGGTGTAGGCTCACATCCCACTCCACACAAAGGAGGGAACTTCAGCAGCAGCAGCAAAACTCCTGGGAACAGCAGCAGAATGGAGACATATAGAGGCAATCTCACAATGCTGGTAGTGGTATGTGATGCCCCAAGTTCTTGTTACCCCAAATTTTAACAATAGGGCCTATCTCCTGCCAACCCTCCAAAACTGCAAGAATTAACTCATCCTTTTCTACTTACCCCAGAAGACCAAGTTGCCATATTCCTACGGATTATGGGCAGGATGAGTTCCAAAGGAGTGGGGGAGGATCAGGAACCAGGCTAACATGAGATTTGGGGAATGATGGCAACAATGGGGTCAGAAACAGAAGTTGAAAGGAGAGTAGAGCAAGGTGGTAGGTCACAGAATTTGGAGGTGAGAGGGATTTGAGAGACCGTGTAGTCCAATTGTCTTATTTTACATGTTATGCTATATGAGGTGACGTGACTTTTCCAAGGTCATGATGGTAATAAGTGGTAGAACCAGGTGCTCTGACTCCAAACCCATTGCCTCTCTCTCAGATCCAAAGTCAGTAACAGAAATCCAAAGGCACATTGCAAGGTAAGTCATCTACTTGGTCAAACACATGATGCAGCTCCTAAGAGATCCACCCGTGGGAGCTGAGGGGTCAGGACTGAGGCAGGACAGGATGGCAAATGCCCAGCTGGAAAGACAAGCCCAGGATACTGAGGCAGCATGTCCTCTCAGCTTCTGCTATGGCTCTTCCACTCTCTCCCTGGTAAGAACTGATCCCAGGGGAGCTTGTCCTGAAGACTTTCAGGAACTAATGATTGAGAACAGGAGCTGTCTAGTGAGCTGAGGGCTGAACAACAGGTAGTTCTCCAATAGAGGCAATTCTCTGATCTGGCTGTGCTCCCTGCAAGTTGTAATGAGTTAGAGCAGGGGTGTACTGGAGCCAGCTCCAAACGGTTCAGGAGCTGATCATTAAATTTTCAATGTGAGTGTTTACACCTTAGAAATCAGTAAATACTGCAGATCAGGGCAGCTAAGTGATCCAGTGGATAGAGCACTGGGCTTGGAATAAGGAAGACTTATCTTCCTGAGTTCGAATCTGACCTCAGGCACTTACTAGCTGTGTGACCCTGGCAAGTCACTTAACTCTCAGTTTACTCATCTATAACATGAGCTGGAGAAGGAAATGGCAAGCCACTCCAGTTTCTTTGCCAAGAAAGCCCCAAATGAGGTCACAACTGAAATGACAGAACAACAACACAGATCAGGTAGGTCTTGATTTATTGTTTTGCCTAGACCCAAGAAAGTGATGGAGAAAATGTAAGCAATGTACATTAAACTAAAATGTATGTCCTTCCTGAATTTCTTTTTCTGGAGAGACAGTTGTTAAACATTTACCAGCAAGCAAACTGCTGAGTTAGAAGTAGTTGTGAGGTTGAGGTCAGTCTTGAACATGAACTTAGAAGTAAGGTGGGCTCATTCCATGTTCTCCCCCTGCTTATCTAATCATTTGCCAAGTCTTTTTGATTCTACCTTCACAACTAGTCTTTCCCTTCTAAGATTACCTTACACTTACACTGTATATATGTTATGTGTACATAGTTATTTGCATATTGTCTCTCCCATTAAAATTGAGCCCTGGGAGCTGGATCATCCTTTTTTTTCCCCCCCCTTTCTTTATAGTCCCAGTTCTTGATATAGGGTTCAGCACATAGTAAGCCTGTAATAACTGTTTGTTGACTGACAATATCTTCATGTATGTTCTCTTCTCTCTGGTTCACACCCTTATAACCTCCCTCACAGATTTTTGCAACAGCCTCTTTTTTTTTGGAGGGGGTGAGGCAATTGGGAGTTAAGTGACTTGCCCAGAGTCACATAGCTAATAAGTGTCATATGTCTGAGGCCATATTTGAACTCAGGTCCTCCTGACTCTAGGGTGAGTGTTCTATCCACTGTACCACCTAGCTGCCCCTCTTAATTGGTCTCCCTGCCTGCTGTCTCTTCCCTCTCCAATGCATCCATCATGCAGTTGCCAGAATAGTAATAATAAAACCATGTCATTCAATCCTCCCACTCAAAGATCTTCATAGGTTCCCTGGTACCTTTAGGATAAACTATAAAACCTTCAGCCTGATAGTTAAAGTCTTTAAGAGTTGTTTTCCCTTCCATATTTCTAGTCTTATTCCATGTTACTCTTCTTATACTTTCCATTCTAGTATATATATATATTACTATATATTCTAGTGTGTGTATATATGTATAGGTGTGTACATATACATACATATACAAAGGCATACATACATACACATACATGCATGCATACAGTTGTTTAGTTGTTCAGTGTCCGAATCTCCATGGACCACAGCCAGCATGCTTTCTCTCTTTACATATACACATGCCTATGTCTATGTCTATGTCTATGTCTATGTCTATGTCTATGTCTATGTCTATGTCTATGTCTATGTCTATGTCTATGTCTATGTCTATGTGTACACACATGCAGGTATATATAATGTACATACAATACACATATGTGTACATACACACATACTTACACTAGAATATAGCATTCTACATATATTTTAGTATGTATGTATGCATGCGTGGATAGGTGTATGTAATAATCTGCGTTTCTTTACATGTATACAGACAGCAGAAATGGTTGGTTTTTGTCTTTCTGTTCTCAGTGTCTCACAGTGCTTGTACGTAGAGGGCATTTAATGAGTATTTAGTGAATTGAATTGTTGAATAGTGCTTCAGGTAAATGACATTCAGTGAGAAAGAGACATTGAGTGAATGAAGACATTAAACACAGTATTCCTATTGAAACATTTCCCTATGGAAGAGTATTGTAAAAACATACATTCCCATGGAATCCTCCTTCTCCTGTGTCCCAGCTGCTCTTCCTCTCTACCTTAATCCTTGAGCTTTCTTGTGTCCATCAAAGAGCTACTTAAATGACCTATCATCTCAATTCAAATCGAAGGGTTTTTGTGATATTTTGCTACTTGGATGTTTCTTTAAGCATTATATTTAGGAATCTATCAGCTTGGGGAGAGCTCATTATGCCTTGGGGTCATCATGCTCATAATTATTTGACTTTTGTTCCTTCCAGTAAAGTATACCCCCAACTTCCACTGCCTTTACTTCTCTCTCACCCTGATATTAATGCATTAGATGACTTAATGTATGTTAATATTATCATGGGCTGGCATTCAGAAGGTGAGTTTAAATACTTGTCACATTTCCAGGACACTTCTAGCCTAAGGACAGATTATTATTATATATTTGACTAATGATAATAGCTTACATTCATATAGTATTTTCTTCACTACAGTAAGTATTATGTTCACTTTTCAAGGAAGGAAATTAAAGCTCAGAGGACTAAATGATTTGCTCAGAGTTTCACAGTGGAGTGTCAGAGCAAGGATAGCAAACTAGGCCCTCCTAATTTTAGGTCCAGTGAACTTTTACCTATATCACTCTACCTCTATAACTTGGCCAATACTGGATTATTAGGATGAGTTAAGTCTAAATTAATTTAAGCAATAAAAAAGTTAACTTTTTTTTTTCTTTCTGGCCTCAAAATGAATCTACTTTTCTTTTTCTGTCCTTTTCTCATTCTCCTTTGGTTTAGTCTTTTAGCACCAGAAGTATATTCTAACCAATTCTTTCTGTTTCCACAGATTTTGCTACCTGTTATGAACTCTAACATGGGATACTGGTTCAGAAGCTCAGCTGCTGACTGGATTGGAATCTTAACAAAGATCTGCGTATTTCAAGGTCATTGATCATTATTTATTTTTAGTTTTCAACATTCACTTCCACAACATTTTGAGTTCCAAATTTTCTCCCCATTTCATCCTTCCCCCCACCCCAAGATGGCATGAGTTCTGAATATCCCTTCCCCTACTCTGTCCTCCCTTCTATTGCTGGCCCCCTTTTCTTATCCCTTTCCCTATTTTCCTGTAGGGCAGGTAGATTTCTGTACTCTGTTGCCTGTATATCTTAGTTCCCAGTTGCATGTAAAAACAATTTTTGACATTTGTATTTAAAACTTTGGGTTCTAAATTCTCTCCCTTCCTCCCTCCCCACCCACTCTCATTGAGAAGGCAAGAAACTCGATATAGGTTATACATGTATAGTCATGCAAAACATATCCACAATAGTTATGTTGTGAAAAACTAACTATATTTGCCTTCATCCTATCCTGCCCTCCATTTATTCTATTCTCTCCTTTGACCCTGTTCTTCCTCAAAAGTGTTTGCTTCTGATTACCCCCTCTGCCAATCTTCCCTCCTTTCTATCATCCCTCTCTTATTCCCTTCCCCCCTGTTTTCCTGTAGGGTAAGATAGATTTCAATACCCAATTGAGTGTGTATGTTATTCCCTCTTCAAGCCAGAGTAAAATTCACTCATTTCCTCTCACCTCCCCCCACTTCCCCTCCACTGTAAAAACTTTTTCGTGTCTGTTTTGTGTGAGATAATTTACCTCATTCCACCTCTCCCTTTCTCCTTCTCGCAGTATAATTTTCTCTCACCCATTAATTTTATTTTTTAGATATTTTCCCTTCATCTTCAACTCACCCTGTGACCTCTATCTATATCTTTAGCTATATATTTTCTCTCCAAATACCCTAATACTGAGGAAGATCTCATGAGTTACAAATATCATCTTTCCTGGTAGGAATGTAAACTTAAGTTCAACTTAAGTAAGCCCCTGATGATTTCTCTTTCCTGTTTACCTTTTCATGCTTCTCTTGAGTCTTGTATTTGAAAGTCGAATTTTCTATTCAGTTCTGGTCTTTTCATCAAGAACGCTTAAAAGTTCTCTATTTCATTGAATGTCCATTTTTCCCTCTGAAGGATTGTACTCAGTTTTGCTGGGTAGGTGATTCTTGGTTTTAATCCTAGCTCCTTTGACCTCTGGAACATCATATGCCAAGCCCTCCAATCCCTTTATGTAGAAGCTGCTGAATCTTGTGTTATCCTGATTGTATTTCCATAATACTTGAATTGTTTCTTTCTGGCTGCTTGCAATATTTTCTCCTTGACCTGGGAACTCTGGAATTTGGCTATAATATTCCTAGGAGTATTCCTTTGGGCTTTCTTTCAGAAAGTGATCGGTGGATTCTTTAAATTTCTATTTTACCCTCTGGTTCTAGAATACCAGGGCAGTTTTCCTTGATAATTCCTTGAAAGACGATGTCTAGGCTCTTTTTTTGATCATGGTTTCAGGTAGTCCAATAACTTTTAAATTATCTCTCCTGGATCTATTTTCCAAGTCTGTTGTTTTTCCAATGAGATATTTCACATTGTCTTTTATTTTTTCATTCTTTTGGTTTTGTTTTATAATTTCTTGATTTCTCATAGTCATTAGCTTCCATTTGCTCCATTCTAATTTTTGAGGAATTATTTTTTTTCAGTGAGCTTTTGTACTTCCTTTTCCCTTTGGCCAACTGCTTTTTAAGGCATTCTTCTCCTCACTGGCTTTTTGGACCTCTTTTGCCATTTGGGTTAGGCCATTTTTAATGTGTTATTTTCTTCAGTATTTTGAGGGATCTCCTTTAGAAAGCTGTTGACTTTTCATGATTTTCTTGCATTATTCTCATTTCTCTTCCCAATTTTTCCTCTACTTCTCTTACTTGCTTCTCAAAATTCTTTTTGAGCTCTTCCATGGCCTGGGATCAATTCACATTTCTCTTGGAGGCTTTGGATGTAGGAGCTTTGACTTTGTTGTCTTCTTTTGTTTGTATGTTTTGATCTTCTTTGTCACCAAAGTAAGATTCTATAGTCTGTTTTTGTAATGTTTGCTTATGTTCCCAGCCGATTACTTGACTTTTAAATTCTTTGTTAAAGTAGGTTTCTACTTCCAGTATGGAGGGGGTACTGTCCCAAGCTTTAGGAGTTTTGTGCAGCTGTTTTCAGAGATACTTCTAGGGACCTGTAAATTTTCAGTTCTTCTAAGGTGATATGATCAAAGGTGAGGTCTTTGCTCCTTTCCTGGCCTGTGCTCTGGTCTATGAGTGACCACATGCACTCTTTACTGCCTTTGAACTGTGAAGAGGATTCCTTCTTGACCTCCAAAACAAGCTCCACCTCGCCAACACTCCTCCTTGCCCCAGGACTGCCACCCAGAACTGTGATCCAGATCCAAGCATGGGCAAAGCAAGAGAATCCTGTCTCAGCACCAGCAAAGAGATCCCTGCAATCCCCCTCTGATCAGCCACTTGATCCCCTCACCATCAGTGGTCTAAGAGCTGCAGAAGCAGCCGCTGCCAGGACTGAGGCCTGACTACGTTCTTTTCTCACCAAGGTCTGACAGACCTTTCCTACTGACCTTCTAAGTTGTCTTTGGTGTTTGTGGGTTGAGAAGTCTGGAAACTGCCACAGCTGCTAGTGTTTCAGTCCCCTGAGGCCTGCTGCAGGTTCACTGAGGCCCTATCTTTGCTTCAGTGGCCCATGTTGAATAATGCTCTTCTCCCAGCCCATTGCAACAGACCTTTCCCATCAACCATCCAGGTTGTCTTGGACTAGAAATTTGTTTCACTTTGTCTTTTTGTAGGTTCTGCTGCTCTAGAATCTGTTTAGAGCCATTTTTTACAGGTATTTGGAGGGGTTTAGAGGAGAGCTCAAGCAAGTCACTGCTTTTACTTTAACATCTTGGCTCTGCCTTGAGATTTTGGTGTTTTGGTGGTTCTCTTGAGGTTATAGGAATTCACAAGGGGAATGGGATATATTTCTATTGATATGTGGATTCTAGGATCTATAGATTCATAATAGTGGGAAGTGGGAGAAAAGAGGATCATGGGATTATAAATTTCTAATTGGAAGTGACCTTAGACATCATCTGGTCCAAATTCTCACCATGGTGCAGAGGAAAGTGTGCTAGAGTGGCACTTTTTGTGGGTCAGTCATTTTCAGTCAAGGTGGACTCTTTGTGAACTCCTTTAGGGTTTTCTTGGCAAAGACACTAGAGTGTTTGCCATTTCCTTCTTCAGCTTATTTTACAGATAAGAAAAAAACTAAGGCAAACAGTGATAAATGACTTGCCTGGGGTTAAATAGCTAGCAGGTGTCTCAAGCCATATTTGATCTCAGGTCTTCCTAATTCTAGGCTTGGCGCTCTGTCCACCACTGCACCTATCTGTCCCAGATTGGTGTTCAGAGAACAGATAATAGTTTAAGGATCATGGACAAGCCATTTTAACCTTCTAGACCTCATTTTTCTTATCTGAAAAAATGTAGAGATTGGACCAGATGACCTCTAATTTAATATAATTCAACAAGCATTTATTAAGTGCCTGGTCTTTACCTGGTACTGGAAATACAAAGACAATAATTAAAACAGATCCTGCCCTCAAGGAGATTATATTCTATTGGGGAGAGGACATGTAAAAATATAATGAAATACATGTCTTGTGTTTCAGACAGAGTCATTTTCTCTCCCAAGGAGTCCTAGATCTGGGTTTAACTGGAACCCAGGTTCAATCTTAGAGGATCCTAGTGTTTACAACAAGAGATCATGCTTTTCTTGCACTTTGGCTCTTTTTCCCTACAACATAGAGTTCTGAGGATAATGTTTTAAATAAAACTTGAGTTTGGCTGGTGTCTCTGATGTTCCCCAAGGGGATTAAAAAAGGCCCATTCAAAAAAAGTTACTCATGTATAAAATGATACATATCTGTTATAGGGCAGCTGTTTATTTTCTTTACCACAAAAGAAATACTTAAAAAACAAAAGGAATATATGGTTGCATTGATACATATTTAAAATATAAAATATAACACAATACTTCTGTTATTCTCTTCCAGGATTTTGTTTTGTTTGTTTTTGTGGCATATGATTGTGTATATATTTCTTTTTTCCTACTTAATGGTATTTTATTTCTTTCTAATTATATGTAAAAATAGTTTTCAATATTCACTTTTATAAGATTTTGACTCCCAAATTCTTCTCCCTCCTTCCTTTCCCTCCCCCCTCCCCAACCAATCTGATATAGGTCATACATGCACAATCATATGAATCAAATTTCCACATTAGTCATGTTGTAAAAGAAGAATAAGAACAAAAGGGAAAAAACACAGGAAAGAAAAAAAAAGAGAGAAAATAGTATGCTTCAATCTGTGTTCAGACTCCATACTTCTTTCTTTGGATGTGGATAGCATTTTCCATCATGAGGCCTTTGGCGTTGTCTTACAGCCTTATATTGCTGAGAAGAGCTAAATTTATCAAAGTTAGTCATTGAACAATGTTGCTATTAATGTGTACAATGTTCTCCAGGTTCTGCTCACTTCATTCAGCATCAGTTCATGTAAGTCCTTTTAGGTTTTTCTGAAATCTGCCTGCTCATCATTTCTTTTAGCACAGTAGCATTCCATTTTATTCATATATCATAACTTGTTCAGCCATTTCCCAATCGATGGGCATCCCCTCATTTTCAAATTCTTTGCCACCACATATAGAGCTGCTATAAATATTTTTGTACATATAGGTCCTTTTCCCTTTTTTTACGATCTCTTTGTGTTACAGTCCTAGTAGTGATGTTGCGGGATCAAAGGGTACGTACAGTTTTATAACCCTTTATGCCTAGTTCCAAATTGCTCTCCAAAATGATTGGATCCATTTACAACACCACCAAGAAAGTATTAGTGTTCTAATTTTCATCTTCTCCAACATTTATCATTTTCTTGTTTCGTCATGTTACCCAATCTGATAGATGTGATGTGGTGCCTCAGAGTTGATTTGATTTGCATTTCTCTAAGCAGTAGTGATTCAAAGCAT